AGAAAAGGAAAATTGAAAGCATGTCCCATCCACTGTCTCCATACCTCAATCCTCCCCACCCCAATCAGTGGTCCTCATGGGTGTGCATCCTTGTCAACTACATAAGCAACATCAAAAATAAAAAGTTTAGGGCCTGGCACAATAGCCTAGTGGCTAAAGTCCTCATTTTGCATGTGTTGATGTGATCCCATATGGGTGGCGGTTCTAATCCCAGCAGCCCCGCTTCCCATCCAGCTCCCTGCTTGCAGCCTGGGAAAGCAATTGAGGGTGGCCCAAAGCCTTGGGTTCCTGCACCTGCGTAGGAGACCTGCATGAAGTTCCAGGCTCCTGGCTTTGGATTGGTTCAGCTCCAACCATTGTGGCCACTTGGGGAGTGAATCAATGGCTGGAAGATTTTCAATAAAAATAAATAAATAAATCTTTAAAAAATTTAACTAAAAAGGGGGCCCAGCACAGTAGCCTAGTGGCTAAGATACTCACCTTGCACACGCCAGGATCCGATATAGGCGCTGGTTCATATCCTGGCTGCTCCACTTCCCATCCAGCTCCCTGCTTGTGGCCTGGGAAAGCAGTCGAGGACGGCCCAAAGCTTTGGGACCCTGCACCTGCATGGGAGACCCAGAAGAAGCTTTTGGTTCCTGGCTTCAGATTGGCTCAGCCCTGGCCATTGTGGCCACTTGGTGTGTGAACCAGTGAATGGAAGATCTTTCTCTCTGTCGCCCCTTCTCTCTGAAAATCTGACTTTTCAATTAAAAAAACAAATCTTTAAAAAAGAAAAAAAAAAAAAAAAAAGAAAATCCACCAGGTGTGTACTCATGATTCCTCTGGCCTTCTCAGTGTCCCCTGTTATCCCTGTCTGGAAAGGTGATAAAGGACCAAAAGACCAGACAGACACATGGACACAAGGAGTTTGCATGACTCTGAGTTGAAATGTGTTATAATTTAGTCTTCTCAGGGACCAGCGTGATAGCTCAAATGGCTAATCCTAGCCCTACACGTGCAGGGATCCCATATAGGCACGAGCTTGTGTCCTGCTTGCTCCACTTTCCACCCAGCTCCCTGCTTGTGACCTGGAAAAACAGTGAAGAATCGAGTGAACCTCTGTCAGGATTGAGTGAAGATCCGTCTCTCCTCTCTGTAAATCTGTCTTTTCAATAAAAACATGAAGACAGGGCCCATCGGCGTGGCCTAGCAGCTAAAGTCCTCACCTTGAACACACCACGATCCCATATGAGTGCCGGTTCTTATCCCGGCAGGTCCACTTCCCATCCAGCTCTCTGCTTGTGGCCTGGGAAAGCAGTCGAGGACGGCCCAAAGCTTTGGGACCCTGCACCCGTGTGGGAGATGTGGAAGAAGTTCCTGGATCCTGGCTTCGGATCGGCATAGCATCGGCCATTGCGCTCACTTGGGGAGTGAATCATCAGACGGAAGATCTTCCTGTCTCTCCTCCTCTCTGTATATCTGACTTTCCAATAAATAAACAAATCTTAAAAAAAACCATGAAGACATCTTAAAAAATAATTTACTCTTCTCAGTCATGGGCCAACTGTGTTTTATAAGGTAAGACATGTAAAGCCCAGAAAATAGTGAGCTATAATTTCTTTATATCTTCACACACACATACAGTGAAATACACACATGGACATGCAACACCCAGAACTGGCAGAGACCTTTACAGACATAGCAAAACATAACAAACATGCATAGGGACACATGACTGAAACACACACACTGACCAACACAGCAACATGCACACACACTAGTATTTGCCCACTACCACATACGCACGCACAGGCTGCCACATGCTAATGAACACAAACATAGCAACACAGATACACTGACGAACACAGGTGTGCACTGGGCTAGCTCACAAGCTCTCTCTTTTGAACACACACACACTTACAAAACACTGACACAAAGGAGCACCTACTCACGTGCCAACACTGTGAACACACACACTAACCCATACCCTAGGAAAATTGAGACCCCTGCAGCTGTAAACCTCTGCCCCTCTGGTGTTTTGCAACTGCAGGAGAAACCAAACAGTTTCAGGAGACACTTGAATTACACACTTGGTTGCATCCATGTGAGTGGTAGTATTTGGAACAGGAGGCTTCCACACAAGGCTCTGGGAGGCTATAGATACACACAGGTTGGACATCAAGGATTCCATACCAAGGTTCCCTTGGCACTGCCTGCAAACAGATGCTGGCTCAGGTAGGATCACTAGGCATGAGGGACAGGGCAGGGGAGTTAGACAGCAGGCAGAATCATTGCGGAGCCCTGTAGGATTCTCACAGGCATCCTGTAGCTTAATTCTCCTGGCAGCAGTTTGCAGCCCTGGCTTCCACCTGCACGTTTCTCTCCCTACCCCCATTCCAATCCCCATGTCCAGATCACAGGCAGGGGTCTCAGGCCCCTTCTAAGCCTCAACGTGTCACCTTTGTGAAAGTACTCCCTATGTAGCCAGTCACCTCTGAATCCTCATCCCTGACTGGTCAGGGTCCAAGTTTCATATTTAGCCCTGGTTAATATGACTTATTTGGTGTCATTGCCACCTAAATCCAGGCTCTGGCCCCTCCTCTGGGGCCTGCCAAATGCTCCAGAGGGTTTCGGAAACTCCAGCTGCCCCTCTGCTTTGCAACCTGCCATCTGCCCTGAGGGCTTGTGCCATCTGTCCCACAGAAGTCCCATGTTTTGGTCCCTGACTATGCCAGACTCTTCTCTTCGGGCACAGCTGGGTCTCCAAAGAAACAATGGGTCAAAAGAGATGCTTCATTTATTTTTTCTTAAATTAAAGATTTATTTACTTGAAAGTCAAAGAGAGAATCTTCTGTCCATTGGTAGCAGCAATGACTGGAGCTGAGCCAATTCAAAGCCTGGAACCATGAGCTCCATGCGGAGACCCAATGTGAGTGCAGGGACCCAATGACTTGGGTTGAAAGCTAGATTGAAAGTGGAGCAGCACCTAGGACTCCAATGGGTGCTCATGTGGGATGCCGGCATTACAGGTGGCAGTTTAACTTTCAATGCCAGTCCCAGGAGGTGCTTTTTGAGTACTTGGGTGCATATGACTATCTCTACTGTTATGTCTTTTCTATGACTCTTCTGCATGCCCCTCCCCGATCTGAATCCTTTGCCAGTGGGCACTTCACATGCATTTTGCAGAGATCCTGTTTTCAAGGCTCTGTGGAGTGTGAGATGCACTGTCTAGCAGATGGAAGCAGGGGCCAGGTGTGGGCTGCTTGTGGTAACTCCATTGGCTTGCTTTTGGCCTCTGAGTCCCCCCCACCCTCTGTTCCTACTTTCCTTTTCCCCTCTCCTTTACCCACCCTCTCCTGCCTTGGACCTCTGGGGGATGGTCACTGACACTCCGTGGAGTCCTCTTGCACTGAGTTTTCCCGCCATAGGCCTGCCACATCTCCCCAAGCCACATCTTTCTCTGATACCAGGTGCCCAGCCTTTTGAGAAGTGCAAATGTCCCTCCTGCCAGCCTAGCCCTGAGGCACCCCAAATCTAAGGCAGTTCTCCAGTTACTGGCAGCTAGTGAGGGGCCAATCTCAGGAGAGGTTGGGAGGGCATCAGGGCTGGAGAGATGGAGAAATGTGGAGAGCCAGGGACAGCGGTTGGCCAGGAGAAAAAGGAGGGCAGCCACAATCTCCGCCTAGGGAGGCTCTCCCAGCTGCGCGCTGTCCCAGCTTTGTCCCGTGCTGAATTTCTGTTAAGGGGGATAGCAAGCGGCAGCTGGCTGCTGCTTTGCATCCCTTGCCCCTCCATCCCACTCCAAGGAGCTGTGGGGCTTCAATCTTTCGTCTGAGACCTCCCCCCAACAGTGCGACACCACCACGGCCCTTGGTGGGTAGCCTGAGGCTCAGCTCTGGCTTGAGCGTCTGAAGCTGGCTGGGAGAGAAGAGGCGTGGGGTTCGTTTGCATTACAGTACCCAATGGTGGTGAGCTCGGCTAGATGCTATTACAGTCCAGAGCATCCAAGGCTTGAAAAAGCTAGGGCTGGGAAGGGACATCTCCGGACCCCTGGCCTTGGACTCCACATGTCACGGCTCAGTTGAGCGACCGCAGTGCGGCTCGTCCCCCAGCTGCCCCTTTCTAAGCTCCAATATGGAGCTAAAGATGCCGCAGCCCCCTAATCCCCCCATCCCCAATTCCCCTCTTCCTTCTACCCGCATGCCCCTTTCCCTCCTCCCGCAAGATTTCCAGGCCATGGATATGGCGGCGGTTTGGGGTGGGGGGACAGGGCATTGAGACTCCAGCGGCCAGCGCTCCCACCTAGCACCCTGGGATCTCGGTGGAACGGAAGAGAAAGTACAGGGGGCTAGGAGGAGGGAGAGAGGACCGCAGCGCTGTGCCGCCGAACTGAGAGCCAGAGGGGGAGGGGCAGTGGCTCCCATCCAGTCTTCAGGGTCTGGGGACTCAGGGATGTAGGGGAGAGTAGGGGGGTGTGACAATTCAGCAGAGGTCGGGACGTACCATGGAGCTTAGTGGCGGGGGGGTGCGGGCAGAGGACGTGGTCACTGAGGGGCAGCCTCCGCCCCCCTGGACGGAGGCCTATGGCTGGGGTGCAGGGAGAACTGGAAGTGGGCTCGCAGTAGTGGCACGGCAGCGCGTTCCAGCCACCCCCTCCAGGTAGCCTACTTCCGAGGGGGTGGGCGATAGAGGAGAGGTTGGGGTTGGAGCGGCGGCGAGGGGGGCCCCTCCCTCGCACCTCCCCCCACCGGACTTGGTCGCGCCCGAAGTGTAACACTTTCTCTTTGTCGGAAGAGCTCCTCGGTTTCCTGTGCAGTAGCTCCCGTTGCGGCGGCACCCGTGGCAGCCCTGGCGGACGCAGGAGCGATGGCAGCGACCGATATAGCTCGCCAGGTGGTGAGTGCGGCGCTTTGGTACCCAACGCCGGGGCCGGGAGCCTGGGGGAGGGTCGAGGAGTCCTGGCTGCTGCCACAGCCAAAGAGAAGAGGGCACTGGGGAACACCTGGGACCCGCGGCACGGCTGCACTTCTGCTCGCAGTGTCAGTGGCTCAGTCTCCCTAGTCGGCCTAAGGCGGAATGGGCTGCCTGGGGTTCCTGGTCCGTCGGTAGGCAGCTGAACTTGCTTTGCCGGAGAACTGCGGTAAGCGCCGCCGCCTCATTAGCTGCAGCTGCAGTCCCGCCGCTGGGGCGTTGCCGAATGAATGGCCCCACGAGCTGCCTAGCGCCCCCGGGTCCAAGGCACCCTGGCCTCATTGCCCTTCTACGCACAGCTGCTGGCCAGGATCCCTGAGCGTTCAGGAGGAGGAACGCGCGCGGGACTGGGGCTAGCCTGGGGGGGTGGGGGTCAAAAGCGGTGAGTGGCGAGGGGGGCGGGGAGGTAACTGGCTGGGGTAGGGTTTCTCCATATGCATTGCATATGTGACTGCGTCTGTGGGTAGCGACGTCTGTGCACGCACGAACACTCGTGCCTGCCCGAGCGGCCGAGCTGTGTCTGTGACCCCAAATGAGTCTGCCTGTTGGAGTGTGCGTGTCTCTGGTGTCTGTCCGTGTGTCCGAATGCCTCTGTCGGCTGCTTGTGCTGGGTGCCTCTGGGTCCCATTTGTGCGTTTTTGTGAGGTGTCTTTGGCGGGCCTGGAGATGGCTGGCTGCGTATTTTGGCATGTTCGGGCGCGGACCTCCGTCTGGGGTATCTGTTCTGAGTGCGTGTTTTGTGTGGCTGGGCTCATGTGCCAAAACCTGGGGAGCTGGTTTCCTTCTATGGGGACTCAGGAAAATAAGTGTGAGACTTGCAATAGCGCTGCTGTCTTCTCTTTTTGTTGGCAGCCAACTCTGGAAAAAACCATCTTCATTTACAAAACTGAAGTTTTCCGGGCTGGGTGATGCAGAGGAATCATACCGAAGTGACCTGAGGCTCCATGTTTGTTTGGTTTACTTTCTAGACCAGAAGTTGATTATAAAGGGAGGAGTTGGTTCCATTTGTGAGGAAAACCTAGATTTTCTATTCATCCTTGAGTATCTGGCCTTCTAAGAGGCCCACCCACACTGAGATGAGGAGAGAGAGGTAGCAGTGCACCAGATCCCCAGACACCAGCTATTACTTCATGAAAATCTCCAAACCACATAAAGCGGTTTTAAAACCTTGGTTTGTGAAATAGTTCTAACAGGCGCTCCCAGTGCAACACTAAACAAAATAAAGAAACACGCCCACCTCTAAGGTATTTGTTGTAATGGAAGCGGATCTGCTTTAAAAATCTGAACCCAGAATCTGCGAGCATGTGCTCCGCAGTAGAACTATTGATGACTTACTTCCATCCTCTGTCACAGTTCAAATGGGCAGGATCCTCTCTTGAAAGCTCCCCCAATTCCTGCACATTTCAGCACCGAGCTTCTTATGCAAGTCATGGTGTGGAAGGACCAGGAGTCCACGGGAGACAATGCTCTGTGATAGTGGAATTTGAGATAGTTTGCTTTCCTCCAAGATTGACCCCATAATACTTCTTGCTGTCACGTTTTTGAAGGCTCTGAGAGTGATTTTCTGCCCCTCGTTACCTGCATGTTAGAAATGGCATAGTGGAGGAGTAGTCTCCAGGGTGACATTTCTTCCATCTTCAGTGATCAGAAATGGCACGAATGATTTTTCTTGTCAGCTAATGAGTTTACATTGATCTGGCCACACTCCCCTTGCCTGGATTAGGACTTCAGGCAGTTGTTGCGTGGGGGTACATTCCAGAAGGTTGTGTTTCATCTCAGGCACAACTCTTGCACCCAGAGATGGCCTTTGTTCAGCTGCTGAAGGGCTCTAGGGTGGTTTGGAACCACTTGGTTTTCTTGGCATGGTTCCAGTTTGCTCTGGCAGGCCTTGGCATCCTGCATGATGAAGAACATAATTTCACACCAGATTCTGAAGCTGGACAAGCCACCCAAGCACTTGAGACCTTGTTATTGTGATAAATTGGTTTCTGGGAAGGCTGACGTCACTCTCCATCCCTCTTCTACCATCTCCCCACCCACCCTACCCCCCCCCCCCAATCAGGGAAGCTCTTGTTTATGTGTCATTTGTCTCTCTGCTCTCCTTTGTGTCTGAAGAAATTGTAATTCACCAGAGGAAGCTGGAATTAACTCAGAAGACCTTGCAGGGCTGCTTGCTGCTTGTTTCTTTCAAGGAATATTTATCCAGGATTTGGGGAGAGAAGACTAGTGAGGAAACCTAAATGCTGCTAGCCTAGGAGTTCTTTGTAATGACTGCTGAGACATGTCATGTGAGTCCTGCCTGGCTATAGATGGGCAATGTCCTTTCCAGAGTCAGGGGAGGGTCACTGTGGCTGAACATCTTACGTGATTAAAGCAGGCCCTGCAGTTGTTGGATAAGGCCTATGTTTGGAAGTTCAGTTCTTTGGTACATAATTTGGTACTTTGAAAATTTCAAGGAAATTGGAATTCAAAGCTGAGTGTGTTGGTGCAAATTGTTTTGGAGATTTATGTGTACCAGGGGTTTTCAATAAGTTCATGAAGATGTGTATTTTGAAAATACTATGCATGGGTTTTGAAATTTTTTTGCATGACATTTTTTTTCCTTGAACTTTGAGGTACCTTAGTACAATTCCATCCCATTTGAATAAAAACCACCAAGGGGTCTGAGAAGGCTCTCCACTGTGTCCATGACTGTTTGTTAGATGTCCAGTGCTAAGTGCTAGCCCTAAACAACTATGCAAAAAATAAAAGGATAGGAGACGCAGTTCATGACATTCAAGCTCATGGCCTAGTTGGAGAGCCAAATTGTAGATACTGTAAAGTAATCAGAATTATAGGAAATCCTTGTGTTGCCCCAGCTGCAAAACACTGAGGGCTGCCTCTAATGCACTCTAGAAAGGTGACACAACTTATTTATCTCTCTCACCCCGAGCTGCTTCTTTCAACGTTGCATTTTGGAATGCAGGCAATGGTAAGTGCTGGCCCATAGGGAGACTATCTTGTTGATTCTGGCTTCAAATCTATCCTACATTGTGAACAATGATGCCTTTTCCTGTGGCAATTTAGATATTGGCTGTTCTCCCTAATAAAAGGTGGTGGTGGAGGCTCTGTGTGCCCTAGGAAGCTTGGACAGGGGCCAGTGTCCCAGAGCAGCTGCATAGAGCAAAGATTGCTACCACCCCAGACTGGTCTTGTTATCCAATGGTGGTTTCCCTTTGATTACCCTCCTAGTTTCCTGCCTTGGCAATGCCTGCCAACGCACAGTAAAGATAATCCCGTACTCCAAGCAAGGAAAACAAACCCTGATATTCACCCATGGACCTACTACAGATTTAGATATGAAGAAAGTTATACATGGCTCCAAATATTTAAAAAAAAAAAGAGGATAGATGGACAACTATGGCGTTATTTTCCAAATTTTCTGTGTGTCAATTTTTCAAAAGAAAAAGTTGAGAGGAAGTGAAAGGCTCCCCATATGCATATGTCTCTTCTGCAAGAAGTTTACAATCCAGTAGTAGAGACCAACACAAATCATTATTCAATCGTCATTGTAATGAGTGCCCCCAGGACAGCGACAACTGTGTGACTTCATTACCAGGGGACCTACTCTAGCAGTGGACAGGGACAGCGGGTGACAGAAAGGTTTCCTGAAGACTTCAGAATAGGAAGTGGGTGGATGTGAAGATGGGGGAGATTGTACCTCTGTTACTTGGCTGGGAACATTTCATTTGTGGATTCACCTCCTTTTATTTTCATTCATCCCTTCAATGGTGTTCCTTGGGCACCAGTTGGGCTAGGCCCTGTGCCAGGTACTGGGAATGTGGTGGTAGCCAAGGCACACAGGAACTCTGCCCTCTCAAAGCTTCCATATGAGGGGTAATCCCTGATTCTGCTTCACATCCTAAATGCTGGGGATATGAGTGGTCTTAGGCAAAACTGCCTCAGAGCTGAATGGTGTGTCTGGAAAGTAGAAAGTGAGTATGATCTGCAGTCATGTGTATAACATTTTCTTTGTGGATACTCTGCTGTAAATTTGCCATTAATTGCCAGCTTTGTTACCCAGCATGGTCCCTCCCTTTGTGAGCTAGAAGGGAGCAAACCCATTGCACTAGACTGAGCAAAACTAATCAGGAAGATAAGTTCCCTGAAAAAAGATATTCTGAATGTAAATATGACTGATTTCTGAACTTTCCGGGGTTTGTAGATGATCAGAGCCATGGTTTAGCATTAGTATGAGCAATTGAAAAAGACTTTTCATTGCATGTACATTAAAACCCCCATTCAAGACAGATGGGTGCAGGGAGGAGGAGACAGAGAGACATGGAAAACTGGATCTATGGAACATGTTTCAACTATCTCAAAATGCTTCCATCTGTATGATTTCATTTTCCCCAACAGTTTCCTGGATAAGTCTTATTGTTCTCTTCATTTTATGCGTGCAGGGAGACCAAGTAACTTAGTCCAAAGTGTTATTGTTGGTCAGGTGATGAAGCAATAAAACATGCACCAGATGATACCAATTCTTTATTATTGTTTTTTTTTTTGGCTACTTGCCTTTACAGTGTTTCTAAGAAATAAATGTTTTGCCTGCTCCCCTCCCTCTTCTGATTGTATTTTAGCCCCCACGCCCCTGCCAGCACCCTCATAAGAGTATGCTTGGGTGATCTGAAGACTGGTGTTAAGAAAAAATTCTCTGCTTCAATACAACATAGCACAGTCACGGGTTGTGTGTGGGTTTTCTTTTTCTTTTCTTTTTCTTCTCCATATTGCTTTAAATAAAAATCTTGGAGCCACCAGCCATGGAGGGATGGATTATTTTAAGTAACAACTGGAGGGAGGGGGAGCAGAATAAATGAGAAACACAGACCCTTCCTCCTCAGTTTGGCAGAGAGGAGGTTTCTGCTGTGGGGATTGGAAATCATGGGCTTCTCTGCTGCCTGCCCAGGGGAGGGAGGCCACATGCTCTGGAGGGTGAGGAATGATGCGCTCCCCCCTTCTCCCGCGTCTTCTCATTAGAGACAGCCATCTGCTGAAGGATGCAGCCGGCTCTCCGCTGGCCCTGGTGTCGGGTCGTCCATTGCACTCTCTGAAGGTGGTGAGAGGGAGAGGCGGCAGGAGAATGGGATTTGCAGGCCTTTTCAGGGACTGCTCTGTAAGCTCAGGTTTCCC